TTGCAAGGTCAGTTGTAAATATGAAAGATTTCAGGTACCATGTTCTGGTTGCTGCAGCAGGTGTGCTCATCTCAGCCTGAATGCTTGCTGTGCCCTCAGAAGTACTGCTGTGGCTTTCCCATCAGCTACTGTCATTATTATTGCGGGTAACTCTAAAAGCTTAGGATGGTTACTGATAAATTTATGGAGGAGCGTCTCTGCTCTTATGCCCTATCCAAGATTAAAGCTGGCCAATCTCAGAATGAGACACAGGCAATTCTAATGGTATTTTTCCTTTCTTCAATTGCTGTGGATGTTTACCAGCCTTATTCAAAGACAGGTGGTGCTAGTGGCATATCCAGAAAGCAGGAAAGAAGGAAGTGTTTAGGAGAATTAAACAGTTGAATGGCAGCAAGAAGTCCCTCAGGACAAGGGCCTTGTTCCAGAGGCTGGATGGATGGAACAGGTGCCAGGCCACAGGTAACCCAGCACCAGGGTAAGTGCATAAGGACATAAGTCGTTGGGCAGTAGCATGCACTGGTGTGTGTGCTGTGTCATCCTGCCCATCCAGCAGCACTGGTGGCAGCAGATACTGAGGGAAAGCTATTGGGAACCAGTGCTGCTGCTGAACATTTGGTGTTTGGTACATAGCAGCTGATTGTATAGCAGGCCCATTGGGTGGTCTCTAGCCTTCCTAAACCAGCTCTTTAAACAGTATTTCCTGCTTACTAAGGGATAGAAAATTGCCTGAGAGCATTGTTCCACATGGTGTGCAGCCCATAGCGCTCAGCAGCTGTAGGCATGTCCCTGCTTGTGGCAATGTGAGTTTGCAGGTTAAGAGACTGAACCTTTCCTTGCGTGGAGCATCATCCTCCTCATGTGGAGACACAGTGCTGGCTTCATCATGCAAGCTGAGCAGGCAGTGCCTAGCTTAATGCCACAGCAGTACTGAGGCAAAAACAGTGTTGAAAATAAGAGGTTAAGATTAATAAAAAAATCTAAACACGTTCAGCTTAAAGATTCTTACCACCTTCTTCCTCAGTCTTGGAGAAGTTAATAACTTTTCTGTTCTGTGTTGTGCTCTGATACACACACGCTACTCCTAACTTGCACTTCTCCTCCACATGATGTATGGGAGATACTGACAAGAGTCAGCCATAACTGTGGTAAAACTCTCAAATCTGGAGAAGGATGTGTGGTAACTGCATGTCAGAAGTCACAGAGAGGAGGGACAGAGTATCTGTGACAGCTCACTGATGAAAGAATGTGGAAGAAAGCAGGTTTGAAAAACAAAACAAGGCATGAGGAGGTGGGTCTGCAGCAGCAGGCTGAGCTGTGGCAGTGCTGTGAGCTGGGGTGGGTATTAGAGTAGATGTGTTGTAAGAGGGAAGTGGGGCTGTGGTGTCAAGTTCAAGGAAAAGAAATCTATTCCTTGTAAAAGCACAAAGAAAATGTCTGGCTGGGTAGGATCCCAAGCCATAAGTGGTGGCAGATGGGGTGACTTGAGGCACGTAATTCCTGTCCTGTTGTTACTCATTCCTCCAGCACAGGGCTAGAAGGGCCTCTGGTCTGATGGGATCCAGTTGCTCTCAGTTGTTGCTCAGATATTAAAAAGATGTCTGTGCTGCATTGGGCAGGTATGAGGACAGCAAAAGGAAGCACAGAGTTATTAATCTCATTGGTGTGGGTAGGACAGCTGTGCTGAATCAGCTCTTCAGAGGTCTCTGCCACAGGGCTACATGAAGTCAGTACAGCAGTGGGGCAAGAAGTAGGAAACTTTAGATGAGACTGAAGACTTCTGCAGTATTTGCAATGGAATGACTACATCATCCACAGGACTAATTTAGATTTTATTCTGGTATTTCTCAAATATAAAAAGTCAAAATTCTTACATCAATCTTTAAAGAAAATCCATGCAAGCAGGTCAAAATGTTTACAACTTAATTTGCCCCCCCCCCCAACCCCTTCCCTTCAGTTTTCACTTCACAAACCATGTTGGTAAGTAAACCAACTGTTTGCCTTTCAATTCTTTTTCACAGCACATTAACAGACCAATGCTAGGCTAAGTCAGGGGTGCAGTAAGCACCAAAATAAGATTTTACATGTTAACAGCCTCTCTGCAATACCTCAGTATTTCTTGCAGTGTTTAAAAGCACAACCATTTCACTTAATTCTGGCTTCTCGTGACTTCAAACTTTAAGGCTATTTCTATTTGATACCACCATAATTTAAGTCATGATAACCTCAAAACCTAACAGCCAGGAAAAGCAGCAGTACAAATGAGACTTTTTGAAAACTGCAAATGACAACCTGTCTCTTCCCTTTCTCCTCTGGAGAGCCCAGTCTGGATACATTGTACAGAATCTGACAGGAGAAAATTCCAAAATCTGCTCTGTATGAAATAGGTTTGGCCCATCTAAATAGAGATGGATGCAAAACCAAAATGCTTCTACATTTGAATTGATAGGTAGCAGAAAAAAACTTCACCTTTCCTATTCTGATTTTCAACACAGCCCCTTTCTGTTGAAGTTCAGTGTCAGACTGCATTAGGACTGAAGCCATAACCACTGCTTGTTTACTACAGCTGTTTCCTGTAGCATAACCAAAGTGTTTCCAATTTACCTTTACAATTCACTGAACACTTATCTTTGAAAGGGAGTACAAGTCAAACTAAGCAATAGAGCTTCATTCTGAAGGTTGCATAGAGACTGAAGAGATTTATACATTGAACGCTGTTTTAAAAAACCCCAAACCTGTCTGGCACTACTGAACAGCTCAAATGCGTGACCAAAAAATAACCAAAATATTTATAGGCAATCAACTCTGAGTTTGTTAGCAACAGCAATACTGTACATTTTTACATTATTATCAAATACATAATTCAAGAGTTACAAAATAAGATCATGCATTACCACTAAATCTCATACAAGCTTGGATTGGTTTCATTCCAAGAATCTGAAACGGAGACAGAAGCATTTTTATGAATAAGAACTCAAACTCTGGATTCTTGTTTTTGCTTTCATAGGTTCTATATAATCTTGTTACAAGAAAGCCTGTACAAGTTTGCTCAATTTAAAGTGTTAAAATGACTACTGAACAAAAAAGTGAGCAAAGTGATCAAAAAAGGGAGCTCAATTATTCACTCTTGTAAAGGCAGCTTCAGAGCCAGAGGTACCCTTACACACCGTGGGTATGATTTTAACAAAGATTGGGCATTCTCCAACATGCTCAACTACACCTTCTTCTGTTTTGCCTGGCAAAACAGTGCTTTTGCTGTAGACCATTCAGTTTAAATTAGTGAGCTGAGCAAATGATGTCTCAGTGCAATGTAAACACACACACGTGCACTGCTGAAATACCAGCACTCCTTCCCTAGGCCCCATCTCCTGACCGAAAGCAAGGATAAACTGTTGGTGATACTCCCACTTTCAGGTGCACCTGAACAGAGCTGTGTGTTCTTTCCAGTTCTGGAAGTGACCTGGAATAGGAGATAGAGATGGAAAAGCAGCATCCTACCCAACATTTCACAAGTCTGCAGCTCTGTGGCTCATGCCTCTTGTCAGTAGTATTTATGCCTCTTCAAAGAGAGCAGCTCTAAGAGATCAGAACTTCTGTCTCCTCAGTTTCACCGCATTTACATATGGCACAAGATTGGTTTTCTAAGGAGTAACTTGTGGCAACAACATTTTTCCTAAAAAAGTGTAACAGCACAAAAAAGTTTAATTTATAGCAGCATTTTACACAATTTGTGTTAAAAAAGTAGAAGTTAACCATTTGTGTATTGAGTAACAAAAGGTTTAAATTACATTTATTTTCCATTTTACACTCACTATTTACTAGTTGGACTATTTACAAAGGTTCAAACGCTGTGTAAGAGAATGAGCTTTACCCAGAATAGACTTCACACGTGAGGTAATGGTCTACCTCAACCTCTGTTTTGGCTGGCTAGAGGAGGTACAGTTGGGTTTAGATCCTAGAAAAAAATCAGAATTAGGATGTTCATATTAATTAGATTGTGTTCTTGTAGAAGAAAGCCATACACACGCACATACACAAAGAGAGCAATCCTATGGTAAAATTAAGACTAACAGTGGATTTAGTCTTCATCTTTTTGGCTGAAAGAGAAGAGAGAATAACTAAAAGGGCAGGAAGTTGTCAGCTGTACCCCATTTATTCCAGCTACATTTTATCAAGAGGACAGCTTTTAATTCAAGAAGCTAAAGCAACTGATGTTGAAACAGTAAAAGTGAAGTATTTAACTAAAACCTGGGGCTTTCAGCACACCTTCTGAATGAGACGAAGGAATATTATTTCTCCATTAGTATAAGCAGGTATGGACCCACCTGTCTCTAAGCCCAGGGGGTACCACTACTCACTCCCGCTGGGCAAGACACCTCCACACATGCTTGCTAATGGACACCTCCGTAACGCAAGGGTGCCCCTTGGGTTGAGTCCTACTTTCCACATTTTTAAATGACGACAAACTGCAGAACACTACATAAGATGCTTCTCAATGAAGATTAGATGGTTTTGGAACCGGCAGTGTAATGACACCGCAAACAAAGCATGTATCAAAATACTAAAATGAAGTAAAACGGGGGAAGAAGGCTCTACAATGCTTTTCATGTAAGTTTTCTGACAGTTCATCAGCTGACCAAGCTATGAAACAGAAGTATGGTGGACAGTTTTGGTACTTGCAAGACAAAGTTCTTGTTCTTGCTCTAGTCACACATCACATGAAGATTGCATAGGACAAGGCAACCTTTTTGATAACTGAGGCAAGCAGTGCTTAGTGTTGGTATCCTTTGCTCTTGACAGGCTGAATGTGGTTTAGTGCTTTGTTGTAGTCACACTCCCACAGTCTCTGCCTTCAACACACCCATTTACCCCAATACCATACTAGGATCTTGGTGCTTCATCTGTGGATACCAAATAAGAGTTTAGGATAAGACTATTTGCTCAAGCTTTATTCTAAGTACTCTCACAGAACTACTGACTAAAACTGGCTACTCTTAAATAAGCTGAACACCACAGAGATGCGTATTTTATTTTAGCAGATATGGAAATTTATATACTCAAGTTTCTTTTCATTTTTAGAAATGGCCTATTAAGGCATCTTAAAAAAATCCATATATGGCTTTGGTTTGCTGAAATAGTATTTTACATTGTTAAAAAGGAAAAATATGGTCAAATAAATTTGACATTATGACACATTCACATATTTCACTTAGAACTGACAGTTACACAGATGCCTACATGTGATCACAGATGTCTCCCCTTGTAATGACATGAATAAAAAGGTAATCCAAATGTTTATCTCACAGTAGAGGGCAACCCAGAAGTCTGTGCAGAAGTGACATATAAGGAGTTATTATCTGGAAGAGGAGGAACCACAGAGTTTCCATTAGTGGGTGAACAGCTCAGTTTCAGTTTTTCCAAGTACTCTGCATGAACAGGCTTGTGGCACTGAAGAACCTTGATCGCATCTTCTACTTTAAACCATTCTCTTTTCCTTCCTGATGAAGTATAATCCACAAAGAAAAACAGTTATACATTTGAAACAGCACCATTTTTGATATCTGATCATTTACTTGTTCTCATTACTTTTACTTTAGAAGTTCAAGTTGTTTGGCAAAAGATACAGTGAAAAGTCACTGAAAGAGCTGATGAACACGAGATTCGCTTAAGCTTACTGAAATGAACTTCATAATAAAGCCTTTCAGATAACTCTTGAAGCAGATACTGGGCAGAAGATCCTATGACTGTTCATGTGCTCCAAAAGTCATACCTAGTCCTTACAGAAAAGGATATTATTTAAATGACTTAATACACATAATCCACGTATGGAGTTATTCAGGTTAGCCTTAAGTTTTCAAAAATAATATGCCTTATACCAGTGATATTTTTAAGTTCTAAGACATAGAGATAGCCCTAAGACTATCTTTCTTATACAAGTAAGCCCTTTAGAATTAGAGGCCTCTGAAAAGACTTACAGACAAGGTCAAGAATAGCATTGTTAACAGTGGGATTAATTCTACTTTTCACTTGGCTTTACAGCATTACAGGTACTACGCTTGAACATTATTAAGACATGCACAACCTGCCTGTTTTAAGACCAAGGTCTGTGGCCCCACCAGGGCTGTTCATCCAGCTATCATCGCACTGCCAGCAGCGCTCCCCAGATGGGAGCTGGCAGTAGCCCCACTGCTGGATGCTCCCCTCTACCCCACAGCCTGGCTCTAAGCAGGAACAGACCAGTCCTGTCCTCAGTTTCAGGTTAAAAAAACAAACTAAAACTGAATACAATCCTGTCCCTTGCCAATATTGATCCTCTTCAGTACTGGATCACTGATCATTGCTGCTATGTAGCAAACCTGACATGCAATTAATAGGGTGCACTCCCTTGATGCACCACCTCCTGAAAAGGGCAAAGCAGAACTGATCAAGGTAGGATGTCATTTTTTATACCAATTCTTAGTTAACTGAAATTTCAGCTGGACAATTACACTGCATGAATTAAGCAAAACCAGTTAATGCTTACTAAATTAAATTCAAAGTAGAAGATCCATATGGCATCACAAAATATGTTAATTTAACTAAACTGCATGACAGTGATATCTGTATAACAGAGGTATATATAGGAATAAATACATCTTAAAGCCAGCACTATCACTTCTGAAAAATTAGGCCAAGGTAAAAGTAAATATTAGAGATTCTCCCTACCCCCCCAGGAGAATAAGAACCTCATCAAAACTTTCCAAAGATTTTTTTTCAAAGACACCTTTAAAAACACCCTAGAGTATCAGACAGCAAAACATCACAGTTCTTTAAAGAAAATAATTCATCAGTATAGTATTCGGCCTAAAAAACCCACAAACCTGTATCAACTAATACTGACATTTACTCCATGTTAATATTTAGAATACGCTGATTAATGTAATATAAAAAGTAACACAATATGTAGTGAGTAACCCTAGCTATATGTGCATACAAGTGTGAAAGAATAGCATCCAATTTCCAGTAATTTCATTTCATAGAAGAGGATTAGTATTCCCCCCAGAATTGCTTCAGAAAAGGAAATAAGTTTGCTTAATACATTTTAATGTAGGGAATAGGTTTACCTATATTAACTGAATCCTCCCAGTCTTCCAGTATTTCCGTCACAGTAAGAACATAAACATACGTCCTATGCTTCCGATCCTGGTTCTGCTTGAATATCAGAAGCAGAGGTTTTAATTCACAGAAACAAACAAAAAACCAAACACCAAAACACAATACCAACTTACAGACTTGCCACAACTGTAAAATTAGAAATTACATACCCTGCAGGATACTTGACAGCAACACCTAGCTTTTATTTTCACTGAACATCTGTACTGAGTATGCCCAAAAGGATGGGAAAAATGAAGTTTTATTTGAAAGAACAGCTATTCTATTTTATTAGAGTCATTAAAAAAATCCCAATAAACCAAAACAAGCTAATTTGAAGATCATAAAAGTTGGGACTTATCTATGGTCATCCAGTTTAATATTAGCAGCTGTCCACTAGCACTGCCCATTACTTATCTTGTATGTATGTTCTAAGTATCCACAGTAGAGTACATTTGCTAAAACTGTTTCTGCAACTCGTGTTCCTAGATGAAAGGGTATTAAAAAGCCTTTGCAAGATGCAGCAACTGCATCACGTGGGCCGGATCATCTGTGCAATGCTGGCTATAAAGTTTCACTCAGTAAGTGAGGCAAATTAAATGGCCTATGTTTGCAGTCATGACAAACACAAAAATCATGACCATCTGTTCACTTGACAGGTTTGCCACATTAGCAGCACTAACCTCCTATTTAGAAAGTGCATGCTTTTTGACCAAGGCCAGTCAAATAGAGTGTGACAGAGGCAGGGCTCTCTGGGCAGGGTCGCTGTATCACAGCCAGTCCATGTAGACATGGCTCCTCGCTAGCTCCAGAGCAGGACAGCAGTGCACTCGTAGAGATGCTACCCTAGAAACCAAACCAATCCCCCCTTGGAAAAGAGCAGAGCTCCTAGAAAACCCAGGACCATCTACAATTACAACTATATTAAGAACTAAGAGATGTTGTGCCCTAGCTCTCTTTACAGATGGTTTTATCCTTGTGCCAATAACCATTCCTACTTAATGCTGTTTCACTACAAGCTTAGTGTAGTTTTAAACTGTTCTCCTTTACTATGAAATAAAAATACTCCAAGACAGTTGTTTGTCAGTATCACTATTAAAGGGAACAAATATATATATTAAAATTTAAAAAAATTCTGGCTGTAATTCTAGAACACAAAGACTCAGCACCCTAATTTCCATCTTCTCCTTACTTCTGTGTTCAGGTCACAACATCTGGCTCCCTCAGTGGTGCTAATGACTGTCTATGGGGCTATGTTGTGAAACTGAATTAGGTCCTTGATTTAAGTTAGCAATAACCTAGGAAAGTGCCACACATAATTTATCTCCTCTGGTCTAGATGGTGACAGAGGGCTTCAGAAGAAGAGACACCTAAATTACTAATGAATCATCAGCCCTTGCGGCCTCTGTTTTAAGGCAGCAAGATGAGAGGTATCCTGTCTTTTTTTTTTAATTTGAGTTGGAAAATATGGAGTACTTCTGCAGACTAACAACAGAGTTAAAAACCGTTAAGTTCTTACTGTGTACAACCACCCAGGTGTATTCGCAAACCCAAAGCAATGCTACTAATCACAAACAGAAACTTCTCAAGTTTTGTCATGGTTTCCATACTTCACAATGGCAACACCTTTAGCACTGCATCAAGCAGTCACAGATAACCAAGTAATATTTCACATAGAAAATCTATATAAGGAATACACTGCCTCCAAAAGTTACTGTGGAAACTCATACCTAACCAGTAGACTAAGGGAGTTCTCTCACCCATCATACAGCACAACGTAATTCTGTATGTATTATGACCTGAAGACTCACACCTACATTTCCTGCTTAGGCTCTAAATAAGAGTAGACTGAAGTGGGCAATGCCAACACTAGAACAGAATTATATCTGGTTTACATCCCTGTGCTGTCAGTAGTTGAGAGTCTGACGTATACACTACAAAATACAAGTTTTTAACTACGTAGTATTGCTAAAGGTTAGATTTATCTGTAAATTGAAAGCATTAGCTTTATTTTGTGAATCAAAGTCATAACGAGATACTTCATATACAGACCTATCAATTTAGGTGCGTGTTACTTTTGCTAGTTACTTCAGCAAAATCTAATCCGACAGAAAAAGTCAAAATATTGCCCCAAAAAAGCTGTGTGACATTTCAGAAATCCTAGATCTATCCATGTTCATTTAACCTTTTTTTTTCAAACCTTCTACATGTTGTCCAAGTACAAATTTAATCTTTCCAGGAACATTCCAAGTAGTTTGAAATCTTCCTATTCAAGCTTTCACACACCATGTAACAGCTAAAGGAAAACATTGTCTAACACAGCATTTCTAGTAGCATTGCAAAATTAAAAGCAGGTAATGCTTAAGTCTGATTCTGTTGTGTAGATGTTAAGTTTCTGTAGTATCAAATCTCACAAAAAAGAGCATGGTATTTAAAAGGGAAAAGAAAATAGCTCACCTCAAATATCCCAAGCAGTCTGCCCAGCTTTCCCTTTACTCCAGCCTACAAAACAAACAGGAAAAAGTGTTAAAGTGTGCTTTTTAATTGAAAAAAACCCTAAAATATCAGTACCAGCCTCCTGCCTCAGCATAAGTGAATTACTCATTAGGGTTATTTAAGCAAGTGTTTTAACATAAGTTTTAATTACAGTGCTGCACTGCTTCTAGAGTTTCTAGTTTTAGAGTAATTAGAGTATCAGAACACAAAATCTTGTCCTAATGAGTGGATCAAAGAATACACAAATCTTTCAAGTTTTCCATCCAGAACAAAATACTGTGTTAATTACCATGTTCTTGTGAGTACTGTATTTTATTAAAGATATAAATGACATTCAGTACTGAAATAATCCAGGAAAGTAGCTAGGACAAGAGAGAATTTAAAGTAATATAGTAATAAATCAAGAGCAGGAGTCATTAAAACTCCATTGCTATTTTACACAGAAACTTAAGTACAGCTCTCCAAAATACACCACCAAATTAAATTGTAGGTTACTGGGTGGATCTTGCAGCACAATGACTTCACATACACTAGTTTTCATATGAAAGTAGCTTTTGGCATGTAAGCCTAAAACCAACTTGATGTCTCCAGTTATCTACAAACAGCTTTGAATTCTTTGTCTAGTTAGTAACGCTAGAAAAGGCTTTAAGTTTTGAGTTTTCCTTCAGCTTTCTGAAACAACCCCTATGTGTATCAGCTTGTGCTTAGTAATTTTTATCAATGCAGTTAAGGAGGTCTTTATGTTCTAAGCCTCTAGGGTTTGTTTTTCCAGGATATATAATGCCCCTTCCATCAAAAGTAGTGTGTGAACATCCATTTATTCTAAACAAATCTGATTCCATACACTTCAGAAAAAAAGCATATGTAGTCTACTGGTAGACAAAGCCATATTTAGGGGTTTTTTTGGTCTCGTTGTATAACCAATATTTAAAATACGGCTCCTTAGCACTAAGATGACATTTTCCAGCCTTCAGTCTTTGTTTTCAGCTTTAACCAAAGAAAGTTACTGATGTCTTTATATAAAGGACCATATGGATCCTAATTACATTTTAATGAGTACCTCTGACAGACAACTGGGCAGGCTTTAGCAGTAAGCCTAATCAAGATCTTGCATGTTTTCCGTGTCCCTCTTTTTAAAGAAAGCAGATGGCTGGTGTTATTTATTAAGCAGTTTTGATGAATGAAGCCTGATCACAGTCCCTGCAACTCAACAAGCATTTTGCTTATCTACAGCAAAAGCTAGCCTGAAGTTAATGCAAAACTACATCCAACATCCGTCTGGTGGTCTGCTGTGATGACAGAGATACCCCTTAGAGCCCATGAAGCTGAAATACATAAGTGGACCTGCTGCAGAAGTGATCAGGCACCACATCAATTAGGAAAGTGACAGAGCCTTAGTTTGGTCTGACAGGGTCAGCTACGCCACAACAGGCACTAAAGACTGCTTGTGCTTTACACTGGGTAATGCAAAAGGCAGACACACTGAGGAAATACTTAATTTTTACTGATCAGTATTAATTTCCTCAACATTACAGTATTTTTTTTAAAATAAGAGCAGCAGAACCTAAAAGACTACAAACTTACGCTTTTATCCTCAATTTTGGCCTTTTTTCATGCAGCAGTATCAAGGAATCACTACATCCTTTAAGATTTCTACTTTGTGGCAAACTGAAGCAACTAAAAAAAAATAACTCCATCATCCTATTCCATCAAAAGTAACAACATGAACATGTGGGCTCATGCTTTTTCTAATACTTCAAGTGTCCAAGTGTGCAGTTTTAGCTGGGCAAATTTTGTAATTTCTTCCCTAAAGTTGCAGCAAAGAACAAGGTTGTTTAATATCCTTAAGGATATGGCTTTAAAAGCATGACAGAGCACTGAGTGCAGACTCTGTAGGTTTCTCAATTATTAAAAAAAGCTTTTCCAAGTACCAAGAAACTGCTCTCAAGGGGACTATGCTCTACCAGAGGGAGGAAAAGAAATGACTCCCCTCTCACTCCAAACCCAAACAGCTGCCCCACCAACCAACACCCTCCCAAACTAAAAAACTTTCTAGATTTTATAACTTTTTAAGAAGTCTTAGCCAAGGTCTCATTTACATTACAAAGATTCCTTAAAGGCAAGTCTATGATGACAGGACTGCTGAAGGACAAAGAAACTCAGCATCAAGGGACGCAGGAGGGCTTTCCTGAACTGCTAAGTGGGATCTGACAATTAACTGAGGTCAGCACATGCCCCAAACACCACCGCCAGCTCAGTTTGCCAATACAGAACAGCTTTCATAGAGAAGTTTCTTCAACTTATACCTCAGTCACAATGTGACTTCATAATCAGTGTTACTCTAAGCAGAATTTACGTACTAGCTTCTCTATTCTCCCTCCAAGCATATCAGTGGTTTAAATAAATAATCTTAGCCAAGTAATTCTGGATGAAACAACTAGAAGCACTCTATTACATCAAGTGTAAAAATTCCCCAAAGCTTCTAAGGAAGCTTTTGTGCAACCAGATGTTGCTATATAAATGTGATTACTGTCACTGATGAAGCACAAAGATACGTGCTTCCAAAGTGTAGCATCATTCCTGACAGTAGCATCTTCTGAAACCTCTGCACCAAAAGTATAAAGAAGTAGTAATTAGAGTCTCATTATTTTTATGTGAAAGTAATATATTCAGTTGAATAATCCTCATAATTTAAACAGCACCATTAAACTGACTGGGATCTTTATATTTCTGAAGAGCTTTTGCTAAGAAAACTATTTCGTCCAGGTTCCTCCAGGAACCTTAATGTAATTCCTCCACAATGTGTGAAAATGAAGTGCTAGAGGACTAAGAAATGCTTCAGCTTTTTCCCTAGAAAGTCAAATAAAGGTCCCACTTTGCCAAGTGCAAATTCAATACACTGGTTAAGTTCTAGACTTTGAACCATTTTGTCTCTAATAAAAATATCTTTCTTCCTTTGGCCATTACATGCCCATGGCTGTTAAAAGACAGTTCTTTAAGTAAATAAAATCCTATAAGCTACAATAAGCCAGTGAGAGAGTCTAAACTTTGCGAGAAAAGCCTGGAAAAACAGCATTTCTGTTGGCAGACAAACTGTTGAATTAAGTGCTACACCCCCATAACTACTCCCTAAGGAAGTCTGTGAGTACTATGTAAATTAGGTCTCAGATCTTAATTTATGTCTATATTTTAGTATTAGTATTTCCCTCACAAGAGGGAAAACAGGCCACTTCACCCCATGATCTTTTCAGCCTGGAGGTCATTCACTGTCGGCAGCTGTAGAGGTGCTGCAGTCGCAGATGTGCAGTCAGAATTGCCTTTTGTTTCCTGTAGATGGAGCAAGAGCCATGCTGCAGTTTCAATTTTTAGGCTAACAGTCTACCAGAGCAGAAAGTTGCCTAAAATCCGAAATATTTAAGTTATTTTTATCTGCGGGATGTGCTGGACATCTTCAATGCCTAGGCTCCTGAAGGCACAGTGCATGACTATTTGTGCCCTTTCCTGCATACTCATAAAACGCAAAAGGTTCCACTGTACCTGCCACAGTCTTTCTGCTGAAAAGGTGGGAGTTTTATTTATTTTTACTTAAAATTATCTACCTAGTCCTAGTCTGTAACACCCAGTCATTTTTCAAATATTATATGCTCACTGGAGCAGATTCCTCTGCTTCCTTTGAGAGGTCTTGGACAATATTACTGCCATTTTCACTGTTGCAGCAGATTAACCTTTAAGATCGGCCTCATCTTCTCAGAAGCTATATTCACACAAATCTGTGAGGAATTGCATATTTTTGGTAGGCGTTTCAATATACCATTAAGTACAAACAAAGCAAGAGTCTCAGTTTCTTGAGAGATGAAGGAAGAAAAAGGAGTGAGAGAGTGCTTCAACCATTTAAGAGGCTGGACATCATCAGCTTGCCACCCTTATTATTTGTGTCATATTTCTCCTTGAACACTGCATGTGCAAAGAACTCCCATTTCCACCTTTCACGCTACCCAATTAAAGACTAAGCTCCAAATTCATTAACAGAGTAGTCCCTCATTTAGATGAAGTTTAGTACCTTTCTGGGATTGCTTTATGGTGTAACTTCATTTTGGTATCCTACTTTCAAGTTTGTAACAAACTTACTGTGCTTAAGGAACCTGACAGGTTATTGTAATTACTCTAGCATGTGAAATGGCAGACAAACTTAAATTAAATTCATACTAAACATTTAGTAGAGGTAGAAACCCAAATCAATAATATAAACAGAACTTAAGGATTAAAAAAAATATCTAGTCACGCACAAAGGCAAGACTATGGAGCAACTGCAGTGCATAGAGATCTGACTACAATGATCTTTGCGTTTTAAAACAAGGATTTTAAATACACAAGAGTTGGTTGCAAAGTGAGGGATATTACAGCCAGTGTGCTATCATATTGTGAACTACTGGCACTCCTACCATTAGGAAATGCCATTACAACTCCCACTATTTATTTCTCAACTTTAATAAATTAATGGAAACCAATGCTTAGTTTGTGCATGACCCAGTAGTGAAGACAGTTCAAACCAGTGCCACAGTGTGCCTCCTTTGAAGTTTATTCATTCACAAAACCCTTAACAGTTCACTTCACTGTACTGTGACCACTTGCCAGGTGACATTGACCTTAGCACAAAAATAGAAAGGGCATCCATCTCTAGAAAGGTGAGCATGAATTTCCATGGCTCAAGTCAAAACCCTGAACACTGCTCTGGCTTTTCTTTAAAAATGGTGCTCTGCAGTCTCGTGACAGCACACAAGATTCAGCCTGTAAATTGAGAATATTTTACTTTAGGGCATGAACTTTTAACATGCATTAGCTACACAAGTTGTCAAACCCTGGCAACTCAAACTGTAGAACAAGTGTCACCAAATGATTTTTGCTTATTAAAGCCCCTAACCTTTGAAAAATCTTTCTGCATTTGCAAACACACCTCAGAGCTGAACATGGCTGGCAGTCTGTCTTGCTCCAGAATACCATTAAAAATGTGTACCTGCTGTAGTGAAAGTGAGTAAAACTTGGTTTAACTTCGAGGAAAGTTACACAGCCAGCACAATTCATGAGCTTCAGATTTACTGAGTTCTTTTCTTTACCTTTAGAAGCAGTTTCTCTTGTGTATAAACACGGATGACATTGGCATTTTTCCAGTCATTTACAACATACAGCTTTTCTATCATGAAGCCGCTTACTGGCATTTTGATGGCAACACACACATTCTAAGCAGCTACAGAACACCATAACGTACAATCCACTGGAAAGTAATCCAAGCTTTTGCCTGAGCCACATCTTTATACATCGCTGTTTGATAGCACTCGAACAAACACAATCAAAAGAATTTAAGTGTATGAGTGAAGGAGGCTGACATCTGCCTTCAGGATTCAAAGCTGTGCAGGTTGCAGAGTACTGCAGTACTTGACCAGAACCACCACGATGTACGGGAAAGTCTTTGGCTTTGCCCTGATAAAGCAGTGAGGGCAAGAACAAAACTGAGGTATGGATGGACTGCTTCACATTGTAACAGCAGGTACTCCTAGTTTTCACTTTGTGATTTGCTCTATTTTTTTATGCCTGCTGGTGTGAAAGCATGTCTGAAGGGAAAAAGATCATTCAGAAGTAACTATCATTTTCATATCTGTATGAACCAGAGAAGTTTGTAGTGTCTGGGCAGTCTGTGCACTCTGACTGGGCTTCTACATTACTGAAGAAGTTTGTACTAAGGTAATACAGTATGATGTATCATCCGCTAATATACTATACCCATTCCCTAGCTATCTCAGCTTAACCTCCCTCAACACTCATGGCCCATACACTGCAGAAACCAGTGAGCAGAGCTCCAGCAAAGCCAGGACCTTGATGTGTTCCTCAGAGTATTTTCAGGACAGAACCATGTGTAGCAGAAAACTAATTGTCAGCTCCCATGTTACAACTCTCACTGCTGTACTACTTTGCTACAAAGTCAGCCCGAGAGATTTGTGCGTAGCACTGCATTCCCTGCAAGCTGAGGCTGGACCACTTGGGCAGATTTCAATAGCTGGTCAAACCACGACAGCAGCCTTGTGGGCACTGGTCTCTTTTCCCAAGTAGCAAGTGATAGGGTGAGAGGAAACAGCCTTAAGTTGTGCCAGGGGATGTTTAGAATGGAGATTAGGAAAAGTTTCTTCACCAAAAGCATTGGAATGGGCTGCCCAGGGAAGCGGTGGAGTCACCATCCCTGGAGGTCTTTAAAATGTGTAGATGTGGCACTTAGTGACATGGTTTAGTGGTAGACTTGGCAGTGTTAGGTTTATGGTTGGGCTTGAATTTAAAGGTCTTTTCCAACCTAAATGATTCCATGACTGATGACATACTATCTGCAGACAGGTTACTTCAAGATGGTCCATTCTTTACCACCAGAGAAAACCCACATGACTGCAGTTCAGTCAGCTCTAGTTAGACATGGAGATGAGATTTTATTATCCCTCATTTTGGCCTGTGCCAATGGTCCTGTGCTTTTTAATCCCACCCATCAACTCAGAATGGGAAGTGCCAGGACTTCTCCCCAGAGATGCAACTACTGCCTTTCATTGCCAGAATCCTAAACCTTTGCTCCTTTCCAATGGCACTAGACTGCCTGGTGGCTGTCTCCTTTGCTTTCATATATGGTATATTGCACCACTCAGAATTGGCTTCCTCAGCAAAACTGAACACAGATAGAAAGTCTGGAATAACTTTGTATCAGTGAGGCTTATTTCTGCTTAAACCTTATAGCATGAAGGCTGGTAAGAGCATTGAACACTGAACTAGCCTGTTCCCCACGTAAAAGGGGAGCAAGGTCATTGAATCACAGTTCACAGAAGATCCCATCTTAACACCAAAGAGCAAGCAGCATCTGGGGCAAGTTACATCTACATCAAGTTCCCAAGCCTTTAAAACTCAGCAGAACCAGTCTTAAATGCAAGCAAGGTAAACCACTATGTGGCACAGCTAATAAAAAATCATCATTAAACATACTAATTAACAACATTAGTGTGTTTTGTGAATAGTAGTAGTCAAACTGAGATGAGAAAACTGTTTAAGACTACCAGAAGCTTTGTTGTTCACTCACTTGCCAGCATGCATCAACTTCTGCAGAACCTTATACGTTCTATTTAAGAAGTATGACACAGAATTAAGTCGATCTGTAGTCATGCATCAAATAATTTCTAGCTAAATCAAGTGAATGTAGTTTTTCTTGAAGTTTGAGTTGGCTTACAGTGCTGCCTGTTAGATATTCAAGTAACATTTAACATTTTTAAGTTTTCCCAGGAAAAATAAATAACTAGTAAAAAAAACCCAGAATTTTGAATTTGAAAATTAGCTACTGTACTAGAGGGTGAAACTGCATTAATTCATCAAGACTTAAAACACTGTTTTGCCTACAAGCAGGGGCAGAGATAGAAGGGCAGACTACACCTATGGTACTTTATAGATAAACAGCCCTAACGAGGCTGCATTTAATGTGGCCTTTTTATTGTTGAATTCTCAACTGCTTAAATACATCAGTTACTAATATGTTTCATTTGGGATGTCCTCAAAGGTCTGTTTATTTCTTTGTTATATAGCTACACATGAATGGCTGGCTCACCTTCAAGCTGTTGTAGGAGCTGCAAATCAAACATTTTCTGCACAAACACAGAAGTGCTACACTACCATAATGTGTCATTTGGCATAAAGTCACAGTTCTACTTCCAGTAAGCATTGATACAGGCAGACAGAAATTTAGCTATGAAATGACAGTATGCTAGGAAGCAAGCTAATCAGTTCACCTCACCACACCATACCCCAATTCTGACACACGGAACTGCAGTTCTTTGAATTTCACAACCACAGATGTCTCAGTCAAATCCTGGATAAAGAAGGTAGAGTTCCTTCTTTCTTTTTGATTCCCATCTGAACAAAGCAGCAGATGCAAGCAGCTGGATATTTTTGTTCTCTTTTTGTTACCTCTTCATACACCTCTCTGACGGCTGCTCCCCCTGGCTCTTCTTCTGGTTCCATTCCTCCACCCGGTACAATCCACTGATCTGGATATCGGCTACTGCTTACCAACAGCACCTATAAGTAATTGCAGATGACTGTTAAATACAGCTTACAAGTTGGGAATCTCTGTACTATCTACTTTTTCAGCAGTGTAGCTATTCATCTGGACAGAAACATAATAGGCAACCAGGAGTTGCAAGAAGTGGGAAAAAATTGCAAAATTATTAACATCCAGTCTTCTTAATACAACTAAGTTAAGACAATGTCATGGTGATCTACTTGCACAAGCACTTGCATCAGATGCTTAGACACAATGTGAAAAATATACAGTACAATATGGACAGGAATGCAGATGTACAACAAAAATCTAATAACAGCACTCTCCAATACTGAGTAAGTCTTAAGATCATGTAAGACAGCAAAGTGTGAAAACTAAGACATCTTTATCACACAAGTTAAACTAATTCTTCTGAAATGCCATCTTTTGGCTAACCTTCCACCCCCTAAAAGAAAACCAGACTTCTGAAAATATGTATAATTTTTAGTCTTAGACAAGCTTCTTTTCAGTAACTGAACCGTTATGTTAACATGGTGACCTTACAATATTGCATAACTAAATTAGAAGGAGAGTACTTCATTGGGTCTCGTCCAATTCGGTTTCTTCTAACATTTCTGTAAGAGCAAAAGCAGCAACACATTGAATTTTAAATTATTTCTAAATTTAATATTTTTTCCCCAAGACACTTAAATTTCACTTAATTTTTTGACTCTCTAAGTCTGTCATATCATTGATATATACACCATTTTAAAACCTGCTGTCTGTAGAACCCATCCTTCATAATATTCAGAGCCAAGAAGATTGTAGCCACTTGTCTAGCAAACTAGGATGCCTCATATCTAGAGTAACTTGCAGTAGAAGATGATGAAAATAAGACCTCGATTCGGGACCACATGAAAACAAACAGTTTGTTATTTGAGACATGTCCTGCTTAGAAAGACCTACTCAATCATTTGCATAGTAACATGCTTCATATTCTAGGCAATACTTGCATAAACCCTACCCTGAAGTCAAAGGACAACTGTGGGGAACAAAGGTACAGGGTGAGCCCTCAAATCCTTAAAAGCAATTAAAAGACTAGCAACAAGAACCTCAGTCTAAAGGTTAAAGTACTGACAGGCAGCAGATGACTGAAGTGACAGCCCAGTCCTCACCAACTACTACCTTTATGGTCTTTAAACTCATCTCCCATTGGGTTAAAGAGGAAAATTATTTCCTGATGAAGGCAACAGGGAAGTGTTTCACTTATATTATGTCCCGTTGGCACTCATGGAAATACAGTGTAGGTTCACCTACAGAAACTGGGGAGTGTAATCAAGATGACTGCATACCTTTGTGAATGCAACAGTGCGTGTACATACTGAGGTGCACCTGGAAGAGCTTTATCTGACATATTTTCTTGTTGTAATGTTTATTTTATTTGCAGTCTGAAGTTAGTCCACTGTACTAATTTCCCCCAATTTTTCCTTTGCTAAATAAGGCACACAGCAGAGACCTCTTTTCGTACAGAATCCTTTTAAACATTTGATCCAAATGTTCACATTTTCAGGCAACTCAAATATATTCTTCAGCTATCTGAAAACCTTGAAATAGTCAGCAAAGGCAACAAGGTTAGACACAGATGTGTCTCAACTTGATCCTCTCAACCAAAGATGTTAGTTTTGAAGGATCCTTTGATATTAGCAAAAGATTTCCAAAGGGTACACACCTCTACTAAATGTAGTTCAGAAAAAGGTTTTGAGCACGTAGGTGGAGCATCTATATCACTACAAAGAACCACCATGTCTGCAGTGCTTAAAGAGCAGTTGTAAAAATCAAGTTATGAATTCACTTGTGGGATTCCAGACATAAGCATTACACATTACTTTCTGCTGATGAAACCAGCACTCACTGCAGTCATGTGGAAGCTAGCAACAATGATGAACAAAAGGATGATTATATCACATGAAATCATTCCCAGCTTGGTAGAATGGTTTTAATCAGCATTCATTGTTTAGTTAAGGCCAAACATAAAATTCTTAATTGCTACTAAGGGATAAATCAGGTTGGTGGTTCTGGCAGTGTAGCATAAAGCCAGGAATTTTTTATCCCTTTGTATATAATAGTTGACTATCACTAACCTGGTCAATAGTCTATTGGGCTGGGTTTGTGTATCTATTAGTTTTAAAATTACCGTTTTAAAAAGCAGATGCAAATACATCTGTCAAGTAGTCAACATTAAAATATATCAGCTCTGGTAGAGAAACTTTACAGCTATACATACAATAAACTCCCAAGTGTTACAGCCTGGGAGTTCATTGTGGCAACGATCCAAGTCTCTACGAACCCTGAACTGAAGCATTTTCTCAAGCGTCTTTCCCTCTGCGCTTTATTCTCCTGGGATCCCACTGCTTTTAGAGTCTGAATCCATGGGGCCACATTAAGGTATATCCCTGAGACCTTCAGATGCACCGTTTTTCCTCCCAGTAACATCAATATTTGAAGTTTTTAGGGCATGAGGAATTCATCATGGGGTATGCTAGCAAAAACGTACTGAGTGGCAAGCAGTTTCTACTTAAACTGAAAGGTGACTGCTAGCCATTACAAGATTGCATGGTAAGGCTGAAAAAGCACTCCACACAGATTTTTCATTTTAGAGTAGCAAGCAATTTTACACTCACTTGCACGGTTTTGGGTTTGGTGTGTTGTTTTTTATTCCATGTAGTGGATGTATTTTTCAGGCGTTTCAATCTGTAAGTGGCCAGAAGGCACGTTCCACAGTGCCTGAATGACTAGGCTGTAAATATACAGATCACTTAAAAAATTAAGACACCAAAGAGCTGTGCTGGTTGACAATTCACTCAACGAGCCAAAAGAGGTGCAAAATCAACAGCAAAAAGCCAGCAATTCATCTTCCCTTAATAAAAGATAAGCAAGCCAGGAAAATTGAGTGCTAGGTTGCCTGGACATCCAGTCTTTTCTGAGGAGGTTCGTGTTCATGCAGATTACAGTCATTACAGAAAATCAAGACTGCATAGTCTCACATACCTACTTTCTTCTGGCCTAAGCACACTGAATTTTACTTCATAACCTCATTAGGCTCAGAAGAAAACAATGGAACTATGCAAGGAAATCTGTATCCCATATCTCTGAATGCAGAGACACAACTGAGATTTCTTGTATTGTATTATTGCAAGTGATCACTGCCCTCCATGTTTCTGAAAAAGTCTTACTATTAATAACTGATTCACTTTGAAAGATTTCCAAAGTATAAAGTAATAGCATCAAATCTGCTTGTCTAGCTACAATGTTAAGTTTGTCTCACTCCAAAGACTAAGGTAAAGCTATTATTTTCCAAAATACTGCCAAGTGAAGCAGTAAAGCTGCAAAATTCAGCTAAGAGGAGAAAAAGAAAATTCTTCTGCTAAGTCTTCCTAGCCAAGTTTTTACCTTGTTTTCAAATCCAGGAATAGCAATGACCTTTGAGTGCAGTGAGGAAGAGAAACTGCTAGCCAACCTACCTGCAATAAGCACCTATCAACATGCTTAACCAAGATATGGTTAACCAAAAACCCAAAGGTAATTACAGGGGATGTGGCATCATGGGACTTGCTCACTATAAATGCTACGCCTGCAGACAAACAACTGAGAATTTCTAGAGATAGGTGCCAAAATTTCAGCCTGTTTAGCATTCTCAAGTCAAAAGGAACTTGTGAAACAGTTAGCAGCCATATATTCCAGAAGATTAAAATGGCAACAGCTCAGAGTAACAAATTACAACAAAAAGCTATTGCTCCTTATAATTATTTTTTCTATCAAGCAGAGAGATAGAAAATGACTTAAGGTTATACAAAATATTATTGCTTTCTATCTTCCTTAACTGTGGGGCATTATAGCTTACAAAAGTGATTGTAATAAAATCAGCTTATGTTACAAAATATAATAAAAGGTTAAGGTAGAAACTTGCTGGACAGAGCAATCCCCCACAGTTGGGACTCTTTGACTTCAGAGCAGTCACTCACAACTTGAAATAAAGCTACTGCAGCAGGAGCCACTATAAACCAACTGCAAGACAGGAATTTTTCTATAGCAGATATATTATGTGCAAGGAAAAATGTACTTATAGTTTAACAGGTTCCACTCCAGTTCAACAGAAATTATTTACTTGTCATTAGACATCTTTGTAAGCACTCTCTGCTCCCAGTCTAATCACATCTATTCCTCTCTTGCCCACACCCCATTTTCTCTCCTCTCATCACCCCCACTATTCCACTAGCTATGTCCAACTTGATATTTGAATTACCCAATGGAGACAGCTAAGTCTGCCTTGTTTTTTTTCTAGTAAAACTGACAGTTAAGAGAAACAACTTTAAAGAGGAAGGGAATCAGCCCCTTGCCTCTAAAAGGCCACTGAGCACATGTAGCTCAGTTGCAAAGACCACCACATTACTCAGGTGTATCACCAAACACTGAGAAGGAAAGGAGAAGACAGATGCACAAAGATGAAGGATTTAGTTCCCAAGCTCTAAGAAGCTCAACAATTTCAGAATACTTCAACTAGTCAAACTATAGTGAAAAAATCATAGGGGCTGCAAGATGTACCTCTCGGGTACAAAGTGTCAAAATGCTACTAGAAAGAACAGATGAACTGTGTGCTTACAGGTGTCAGAAACATTAAGGGGGGAATAAATAACCAACCCTATTGCAAGAGAAAAACAGGACCTACTTTGATGTAAGTTAATAATAATCTAACCTAGTACACTCTACATGGAGAGCTTCAGCCTACATGGTTGGTCTGCCAAAGTTACAAGCACCTGCAAGATTCATAATGGTGGTTTAATCCAAATACAGCCAAAAGGGTCAGTCAAGTCCCTGGAACTGGGGGCTTCAAACAAGAACTGTTTGAAAACAGCAATAAGCAGAAGCTCAGGAAAGAACATAAACATAAAATATCTCACTGTTCCCTAACGCTCCCAATTGTTTTCAGGTCAATAGGTTCCATAAAAATACTGGGAAACCACTTTGAATGCTACA